CCTTTCGGGTGAGTGTCCCCCTCCTTCCGAGGGTCCTCCTGCAAGGAGAAGGTGGGGGTGGGCAAATGCTTTCTGTCCTGGGCAGAAGAAAGGAAGGGGCTGCCTCTCAAGGACCCCCTAGTCTCTTCCCCACTCTTTCCAGGCACAGACCCTCTCCGGCAGTTGTCCTCTAGGCTTCTGCTGGGGACAAGGGACACTCCCTCGCCTGGGGGGAGGGGAAGCAGGTGTCCCCCTCTCTGTTGATGGGCTTCTCTCTCCTTCTGGGAATTGGGGCTCCTGAGCAGCTGTACAAGCCTGGCCTGGGCTTCTTGAGGGCTGGGGCTGGTGTGGCTGCTGGTGAGCTGCTCAGCTCAGCTCAGCTCAGAGAGAGATGCCACTGCCACCATGGCTGCCCCTGCCTGCAACTCGTCCTCTGCTAACCAGCCAAGCCTGTTGGGGAGGTGTTGGGCTTTCTGCCAGAGCCAGTTCCCAGGATGCTCCCTCCCCCTTTTTCCCGCCCAGCCCCTGCCCGGAAGCCCCGAGGAGCTCTGCATGATGGGATGCTGTGGGGCTGCTGCACCAGCCGATTTCGGCTCTCCGTTATGGTTTGGGAGCTGGTGGCTCTTTCAGCTGAGGGAACGGATTTCATCAGTTGGGTGCAACTGGGGACGTGGCCAGGAGACGGACCCTGCCTGGCCCCCTCCCTGTCCTGATATTGTGGATAAAAAGCCTCCTCTGTGGGGGGTATTTGCATCCTGTGATACAACAGAAGCAACATATTTTGTGGTTTATTTTGAAAAAGACATCATCACCCCAATTCCTGCTGCTCTGGCATCCAGAGGCCTCTGTTCAAATCTGGCCGATTCTCCATCTTCTCCAAGATCTTCCGAGCAGGATCTTCCCCACGGCTGGGCCTAGTTTTACTTGGGGGCTGCTCTGAGGATCTAGAAGGGGGGGGGGAAGGACTGGAATGGGGGTGCTTTGGGTGGCTCCAGTTCCTGCAGGTTATGAGAGGGGCTGCTCCTGGGCCTTCAGTGTTTGGCTGTTGATTCTAAGTTTCTGAAATTATCTCAAGAGAAACTAGAGGGAGACAATTCAAGACAGTAACAATCGTGTATTATGGACATTGGAACTCATTGCTGCGGAGAAAATAATAGAGGGGCTGTGGTTATTTACCCTCCCCCCCTTACATGCTGCTTTTGCTTCAAGAATCTTAGGAAGCAAATATGGCGGTTTTCCCTCCCATTCTGTTTTGTCCCATGACAACCCTGTGAGGTGGGCTCATCAGCCAATGAGCTCCAAGCCCTTCCAGCCCATTTTCCCTTCCGGTTCCAGTCAGCCTTGGCCTCTCCTGACACTTTGTGCCATTTTCTTTGGGAGACCCACTCGGGGGCGACAGCAGGTGCTCCTCTCCAGCGTGACTGTTCTGGGTCAGACCGGCTGTTCTCGTGCTTGCAAGGAGCCGCCTCACCTTTGCTGGGCCAGCCTATCCCCATCCAGCTCTAACATGTGAGCGAGGTGCTTCCTCTCTGTCTCTCTCCCTCTCGCTCTTAAAAAGTTCCGCTCCTCGGATCAACATTGTCCTGGCCCAGATTTCTCTGAATCTGTGCAGACTTCCCCCCCCCTCATCCTCCCCCCCCATACTCCACAGAACTGGCCCTGGAAGAAGCTGAAGAGCGTGGTGCAGTGGTCGCCTTGCGTGGTCTCCTTCCGGAAGCGCTACTCCTGGGTTCAGCTGGCCGGCCACGCAGGTAAAGAGCGACTCTCGCACCGGGAGGAGGCTGGGCTGGCATCCTCCGTGGGGGGCCTGCCGAGCCCTTCCTCCAGCAACCTCTCCATCCTCCTCCACTTCAGGCAACTTCAAGGCTGGGGATTTGGGCCACGTCTTGAAGAGACACTGCTCCAACGAGCAGCAGTGCCTGGAGTGCCTGGGAGGCGATGCGTTGCAGCCCTATGTCCCAGCATATTATGGGATGGTGGAGCACGATGGGGAGCCCTACATCCAGATGGAAGACCTGCTGTCCGGCTTCGAGAACCCTTCCATCATGGACTGCAAAATGGGCACCCGGTGAGACTTCTTTTGCTCCCTACTGGGGGACTCGGCTTGGCCAAATACCCTTGGCAGGGGGGTGGGGACGGGGGGGTGGGCAGCCTCCTTGCAGAGAGGTTTGCCCCACAAATGCCTCCAAGGGCGCTTCCTTCTCCCTGCCCTGCGCAGGACATACCTGGAGGAGGAGCTGGAGAAGGCCAGGCAGCAGCCCTGTCTGCGCCACGACATGTATGACAAGATGATGGCGCTGGACCCTTCCGCCCCCACGCCAGAGGAACACGCCCAGCGTGGCGTGCTGAAGCCCCGCTACATGCAATGGCGGGAGTCGCTCAGCTCGACCAGCACACTTGGGTTCCGCATTGAGGGCATCAAGGTGAGGAGGGCAGAGGGAGGCCTTCTCATTAGGAAGGCAACCAGCCTCCAGCTGCAGGCAAAGTGCTCCATCACCTGGCTGGCTCTCTGCGTTGCTGCGAGAGAAGCCCAGTGTGGGCTGGGGAGGGGGCTTTCCTCCTGCCCAAGCTTAGCTGCCTTTTGCCCATTACAGCCGGGCGTCTCTCTTGCCCGGTCCCCTGCCATCCAATGCTCTGTTCGGGGAGAGACTCGGGGGAAGCCATCCCAGAACCAAGCCTTGTGCCCTGGGAAAGGTGTTCAGAAGAGGCTCAGGGTGGCTCCCCCGGGGCATAAACAGGAGGGAGGTAACCTCCAAGCAGACCAGCAAGATTCTGCTCCTAGAGCCGTCTCCACGGAGCTTCCTCCCTGCTCTTCTTGCGGAGCCTGTTCTCCAATTGAGGTAGACTGACCAGGCTCTTCCTCTTCCTCCCCCCCACCCCCAGAGGGCCAGTGGCACCTGCAGCACCAGCTTTAAGAAGACCCGGCAACCTAAGCAGGTCGCGGAAGCCTTCTGGGATTTCCTGGACAGGGACAAACACCTTCTGGTAAGGATCCAGCTTCTGCCCAGTGGGCGATGGGGCTTGGGGTACTCCCATCACCAACAGCCCCAGCAGGAGGCCCCTGCCGTTTTCTCAGCCCTTCAGCTCTGGGGATCTGCTGCAGGATTCCTCTGTCATTGCTCTGGTGGTGGCTTTGATGGCCCAGCAGCCCCAGCAACGGAGCCTCTCACTGGAGTTGAATTTGATGCAGCAGCTTTGTTGCTCTGATATATGGAGCTCCCAGCTGAACCAGGGGCCTCCGTCAATACTCCAAGCCTCTTCACTGTACAGAGGGTCAGCGGGAAGGATCCCTAGCCCAGCTTGTGGCTGCTTCACTCCCGAGGATCATTCCTTTCTCCACAGAACAGCTACCTGGACCAGCTGCGGGAGGTGAGAGCAGCGCTGGATCAGTCGGAGTTCTTCAAGGCACATGAGGCGCGTTTTTACCTTTGTTTGGGGAGAACCTCCCAGAAGGGTAACCTTGCCCTATTATCTGGATGCCTTTTCTGGTTAGGTTGGCACAATATATTAGCATTGACAAGTGGTGGCACCCTTCTAGCTTGATACTGTTGACTGGTTCAGTAAAGCCTGTTTAGATGCCCCTTGGGCCAACTTGGCTAAGCGAGATACACTTCCTGGCATTTTCCTGCCAACCAGACGGGCATCTGCCTGGCACCTTCATGGCCCTTGCTGAGTCTTCTTTCTCTGCTTCCAGGTTGTGGGCAGTTCCCTCCTTTTCGTGCATGACAAAACAGGGCTTGCCCGAGTCTGGATGATTGACTTTGGCAAGACGGTGCCGCTGCCCGAAAAACAGACCCTGACCCACCGGCTGCCCTGGGTGGAAGGCAACCGTGAGGATGGATACTTGTGGGGCTTGGAAAACCTCATGGCAATCATGCAGAGCATGCTGGAGAAGCCAGACAGCGCCCTGGACACAAGCCCAACATAACCAGAGGAGCAACGTGCTGCAGCTTAGTCCCAGCAGTCTCAGCCAGAGATGCTAAGAAACCCCAGGAATGTCTAGGGCTGGACAGCAGCTCCCCAGCGAACCTGGCAGCAGCATTCCAAATGCCCAGCAGTCAATCTTTATAGGTGTGCGGAAGGCCAGAGGTCCCCAGGACAGAGCTGGAGTCCTGAGGTGTTCCTTAGAAGCTGCAATCCTATGTACAGAGTGCCCTGTAGGGAGCAAAGCTAGTTTTTGAACAAGCAGAAGGGGCAGACTTAAGAGTACCAATGGCAAAATTTCTTCTTGAGAGAAGAGGGGGTGCTTCTCAAGCACCCATCAATCAAATCAGCTAGATGTAAGGACCCCAGGCGGAGCCGCTGTTCTCCATGTGAGCAGCACCCAGAAGTCTCTGCAAAACATCTTTGTGTGGCTCAGGCATCGAGTTTTATGGTGCAGAGCCCTCCTGGTCATCCTCCCATGCTTGAAAAAGGAGCTCGGCTGAAGAACTTCCAGGTCAAGTGCTGAATGTAAGTGTGTATAGAAACATGATGGAAAAGGTTCCTTTTAACCTTCCTTCCAACCTGAATGCTGAGCCGCCCTAAGACAGGTTCCGTCTCTGCACTAGTGACTTGGACTACAAAGGAGGATTGCTAGGAAGGCACTTCTTTATTGGTTCCCCTTTATTAAGCAATCTAAAGGACACCTAGAATGGCAAGCCTGATTGGGGTGGCCTGTATGTTTGATTAAATAAATGAATACATTCAAGTGATCTATGGTTGGTGCTCTAGGTGAACCAGCAGCTTAGGTGAGTCTAGGGAAGTAATCCAAGAAAAATCTGGAGAGACCATCTCAAATTCAAAATGGCTTTGAGTTGCTGGCTCCTGGGAGGGGGGAACTTCAAAGCGTCCAAATCAACAGTCATTTCTTGTAGTCGCTTGGCACAGAATGAGGAAGGAGAGGCTATTTAAAAAACCAGGCATAAGGGAAAGTCTGTGGGCCAGAACAATAGTGGCAGTAAAGCGTAAAGGAGCTACAACAGCTAAAAGGGAGAAGCAAACAACAAGGCCCCAAACATCACACAGTCCAGGCCCAAAGTATCAAGGAGAGTTGTGCTCCTTTATTAACACCAGCAGCACAGGGTGAAAAGGCATGTGGTAGCTTCACTTTCACACGGGCATTTCTATTCCCTCCTACTTACAATTTCGAAGTTGGTCTTGTTTATAATCAGAACAGTAAGCTGTTCTAATTTCTAAAGGCAAAAAGCACTCTGCTGAGAGGAAATTTAAGCTACCCGAAAGCCTTATTTCCTCCATTCTTCCTTCTACTGAAACACAAAGGTCTAATACCAGGTTGGTTGGTGTAAGTGGGCTTTAAGAGGGGCCTTCAAGGATAAGCTCGTGTCTCCCCAACCTTGTCCTGGAGCTCTGCAGGCACAGGGGGGGGGGGCAGCCTCCTTCCAGCGCAGGCTTGTTGCTACTAGAGCGCCCTCAGGCCCTTGGCTGCAGCAGCACCGCTTGTCCACACAGTCCCTCTCGTACCCCCCCTGCGGGCACAATGTACACCTTTCCGTCAGCCGCCCGCCTGGGACTGAAGCCCGTCAGCTGGGCGTTGCTCTCCTGTATCTGAGCATAGCTCCACAGCTGATAGCGGTAACTCTTGCCGTGCTTTGACAGCAAGTAGGTCTCAGTGACGGCCTCTAAAGGGACGGCCGAAGTAGCATGGCTGGCATGGAAGAGCCCCGGCATGTCCTTGTCCTCCTGGCAGGCAGGTAGGTGGAAGCCACTCTTCAGACCAAGCAACGCTCCTGGGAAACAAACGAGATTGGGGTGGGGAAGGTTTCTGAGCCCTTAGTGGAACTGCTGAAGGGGAGGGGGCCTTTACTGCTGTTCACACAGGCCAGTCCTGATGCTGAAATCTAAGCCTGTCCCTGGCCAAATCTGTCCTCCCCAACCGACCTCCCACAACAGAGATGCCTTAGAATCTGTCCCCCCCCCCCCGCAACTTGGTCATCCTCCAGATGTATTGGGACCAAGATTCTCAGAATCCCCATCCAGGGACATGGATGGACCATGCCATTCTGCCACATTTCTCCCCCAAAGCAAAGCACAAAGCTGTTCTTTGGGATATCTAGAAATGAACCCCAACCCACAATCCCAGTGTGGCAACAGCACCCCCTTGTGGACAGTTAATAGCCAGCAGAGCATACCTGAGGCAACAGCCCAATGAGCCTTGTAGCCATTCCGGAGGCAGGGCTCGTGGTTGTAATCCTCGTCATAACTGTGGTAGGCATTAAGGTCCGGTCTGAAGACTTTGGCTCAAGACCACGTTCCCACGTAGCACTGGCTGTCTTTGGTGAAAATGCCCTCCCCCCCCCCAGGTTCAGAGGCCACTGACGAGAGACCAAGTGAAAGTCTCAGCTTTCACAGTAAACAGTTTCAAATTTCAGAGAAGCCTTGAAGGAAATGGAAAGGAAAAGTTTCCGTAGAGGAGGATACGGTATCAGCACAGGGAAACCAGCACCAAGATGCTGAAGAATTCTGTCGTGGTTCCATCCTTGCAGGCCACCAGAGAGCAGCTCTGCTTTACAGGGGAAGACTTCTTCCGCCAGCCTGGCCATGTCAGCGGCTGAAGTGGGTGGCAAAGGAAATGCTGGGACAGCTACCAAGCAGCCCCCCCCCCCCAGCGATGCCCTGCGCAAGAGGGGATCCAAGCGAGCAGCCAAACTGCTGCCAACCTTCTCTTGGGAGCCTGACAGACTCGCCGGTCACCTCTGCCTGTCCTTCTCGGCTACTGACCTGAGAACATTTCTCCTTGCGCCGTGTAGCCTCTCTCCAAAGCCACCTGCCGAATTCTCTCCAGGGGAACCTCAGAAGGCAGGTGGAGGTGAGCGCCAGCCATCCAAAGGGCCACCAAACCACACCTGTAGGAGGAAGAAAGCGGCGGGGGGGGGGGTGTTTTGCTGGCTGCACAAAGTCTGACGCTCTTCAGCCCAAGTGACCAATACCGGAAAGGCCAGTTACGAAGGCTCGGCTCGGTGCTTTCCAGAGGGAAAGCTTTCACATTCAGGCCGCCCCAAAGAGGGAGACAGGCCAGAGCCCCGCCAGCTTCTCCGGCTCCGTCTGCGCCGGGGCGGCCAGAGGTTTCCTCCTGGGCGATACTCACTGCGGGCCCTCCTGGATGAGGGACGGGACCGGCTGGAGGAACAGCAGCCACGTCAGACGCCGGCTGAACCTGCAACAGCAGCGGGGAGAGGCAGCCTCAGAGGCCCCGCCGAGCACCAGCGGCCCTTCCCGCCCTCGCCGCCCCTGAAGCAGCCGCGCTCGGTAAGGCCAGGAAGAAGCGGCGAGCCAGGCTCCGTTAATGCACACGAGTGACGGCTGCCCTACCGGGCCTTCTGCCGCCGCAGGAGCTCCCTCACGCCGTCGCGGTCCCCGAGGCCGGCCGCCTGCTGTGGCGTCGCCCGGAGGAACGCAGCGGCCCGCGGGGGCGGCAACGGCGGCGGCGGCGGCGGCGGGCTTTCTGTCGCCGCACTCGGCACGCCCTCCGCCATGCCGCCGCCGCAAACCCAGGGGGTCAAGGGTTACGACCTTTCGGCGGAATCGCCATTGGTAGGTTAGGCGGCGCTCGGATTGCGTCATCCACTCGCGTCAGAGAGGATATCCCGGCGTGTGACGCGCCGATCTTGTCGCGACTTGATCAATCAACCAATCGAACACTGCGGCTGGGATGGTGGGCGGGCTGTGTCCCGGAAGAGGGCTTCCCATCCGGCCCCATTTGGGACGGGAGCAACGGTGAGGCACGCTGCCCATTGGACGTCCGCGAGACAGGAGGAAGCCGTCATCTCTCAGCCGTGATTGGCCAACGATCGTCCAATAGTGGAGGACGCGAGGAAGGGTCGGCGGGAGCGGTGGCGGGGCGGCTGACGCGGCCTGCGTGGGATCGGTGAGGGATCGGGCGAGCGGGGCGCCATCCGCGCGTGGGGTGCCGCTGGTCGGGCCTTCCCGTCGAGGGCAGCCGCGCGGACTGGGACCTTCGGTTCTCCGCCATCGCCGACGCCTCCTGGCCGGCATCGGGGCGGGGCGAACCCGAGCATCCAGGTTGACGGCCGTCGCAGCTCGAACGGAATTACGGAGAAGGGAAAGGCGGGGGAGGCGGAAGCAGCGGTCGCCTTTTGGAGGAGGGAGGAGGAGGAGGAGGGAGGAGGGAGCGGCCGACCGACCGTTTGGAGGAAGGCGCTTTCCCTGCCCTCCGCCTCGCCCGTCCCATCAAGGCAATCTGGTGGCCTCACACCCACCTCATGTTTCACCGAGGAGTGGTCCCCTTTTTGCTCCCAGCTACGCGGTCTCAGTAACCGGGACCCGCGGGCTCCTCCGTTCCCTTCTGTGGAGCGTTGGTGGGCGGGTGGCCATTTCTTTGGGGCTGGCTGAGTGTCCCAGTTCAGCTTCTCCGTAGTTAAGCGTTTTCTCTTGCTTTTCGGTTTTTTCTTTTAACACAGAAATTTATTACTCCGTTTGGCTGAATCTTTCCATTCCCCGCCAGCCTCAGACTTGCAGTTGTCATGGCGGTCCCAGAACCCCGGTCCAATCACACCATCTACATCAACAACCTTAATGAGAAAATCAAGAAAGACGGTGAGTTGCGGGTGCTAATTTAGTGCTAATGCGGTGTGGCTTTACGAGTGGTCATTTTGCCTTAGGAGGGCTGCAATTCCTGCATTGGTGATCTCTTTGGGGTTCCCAGATTCTTCTGAAAAGGAAGAAGGATATTTAGAGCGGGTGAGCGCATATCACAGTGCCTGTACTTTGTGTGCAACTTTGCTTATTCTTTTCTTGGTATTTATGGAAGGGCAATAACTGTCCCAAAGTTCAGAGAAAGTTTCTGTTTTAAAAAAACAGAAACCAACTTGTCTTTTGACTGCAGGAGATACAGTTGTGCAGCATAGAGCAAAAGTTAAAAATGTGCCTTTTTCTCCACAGAGCTCAAGAAGTCTCTGTATGCCATTTTCTCCCAATTTGGGCAGATCCTCGACATTCTGGTGTCCCGCAACCTGAAAATGAGAGGCCAGGCCTTTGTCATTTTCAAAGAGATATGCAGCTCCACCAACGCCCTACGCTCCATGCAGGGGTTCCCATTTTATGACAAGCCCATGGTGAGTGGCTACCGTTCCTGGCTTCTGGAGGAAGGGAGGGGAGGCAGGTGGGTCTCCTGAGAAAGGAGATCTAATTGCAGTTAGCCAGGTGCCCGTGCACTCCCATGCAGCTTGACCAACATGGCCTTTTCTGCCATTCTGATCCAGGGAAGCTTGGAAGTTTGCTGGCCAGGCATTGGGTAAGGGTAACTCAGTGCTTCTTTTCCACACCCAGAGGATCCAGTACGCCAAGGTAGATTCTGACATCATAGCCAAGATGAAGGGCACTTTTGTGGAGCGGGACCGCAAGAGAGAAAAGCGAAAGCCCAAAGGCCAAGAGGCACAAGCAACTAAGAAGCAGATACCAGGAGCAGCTGCCCCAGTGGGCCCCTCTGTCCAGGGCACCGTGCCGGTGAGTGCCTGCTTCTGGGCAGTTTGGGGCTGCTGGTTCTGGGGGAAAAAACTCCTCTGCTTTCCTTCAGGAAGCCCAGCTCCAAGATGAAACCCAGACTCTGGCAGAGAGAGTGTGGGGGGAATCTTGTGGTTTTTTACCTTTAATGAAAGCAGGCCCTGAAGTGTGAACTTCTTCCTTCCTGGCCAGGTCTTGTGGTTCAGGGGTCCTTGGGGGCTTCATGCTGGCTTTTGAATGGCAGCTGCAGGAAATGGGGGTCTCTGTGCTTTTTGGAGGGGTGTCTCACAGGCTGAGGTTCAGGAGTGAGGCATAGTGTGAATCTCCCCGCATCTCTTGCTTTCTCCTCAGGGCATGCCCCCCATGAACCAGGCTCCCTGTGTGATGCACCACATGCCAGGGCAGCCCCCTTACATGCCACCCCCAGGCATGATGCCACCACCTGGCATGGCGCCGGGCTCCATCCCCCCAGGGGCAATGCCGCCACAACAGATGCTGCCAGGACAGATGGCCACAGCGCAGCAGGTGAGTGACCAAGGGCCAGCTTGGCTGGTTAATCGGGTAGAAATCCCTGAGAGTTTGTCTTGCTCCTGTTTTGGTCAGGGGGTCGGAGGGCTGCCCCTCCATTCCCTGGGCTTCAAGCGATCAGAGTGATGCGGTGCTTCTACTCCCTGCAGCTGTCGGAGAATCCACCTAACCACATCCTGTTCCTCACCAACCTTCCCGAGGAGACGAATGAGTTGATGCTGTCCATGCTCTTCAATCAGTAAGCTTGGCTCTTGGGGGGGGGCTTTGGGGGAGGACCGGGCAGGGCCGGCAGCGAAGGACTGTCAGGTGGGGAAGGTTGGGCTCCCCTCCACGGTCTGTGTGCTGCCGCCTTTCCTTCCCTGATGTCCGCAAGAATGCGGCCTTGAGCACACAGACCGCCCCTCTGTTCTCCAGCGCCTCCTGCACGTTCCCTGCTTTCTGGTCCTTGTTTACTTCTTGCATCCCTGCGGCCACCTTCCTGCCCCAGGAGGCCAGCCTCGCGAATTCAGCCCTGAGCGTCTCTTTGCTTGGCCACAGGTTCCCTGGCTTCAAGGAGGTGCGGTTGGTGCCCGGGCGCCATGACATTGCCTTTGTTGAATTCGACAATGAGGTGCAGGCCGGTGCTGCCCGCGATGCCCTCCAGGGATTCAAGATCACCCAGAACAACGCTATGAAGATCTCCTTTGCCAAGAAGTGAGCCCCCCCCCCAGGTGGGGGCAGTTCCTGAACTGTGGGCCTTTTTTTCTAGTTTTTGCCTGTAAAATGGTTTGTGTTGTTTCTCTAATGTTGTCTCCTGTGCAAGGTAAGTGTGTGTGGGCGTGAATGGGTGAGTGAAAGAGAGAATTCGCAGTTGGATGAAAGGCAGGCGGAGCTATCTGTCCGTTGGGTGTGAGTGGCGTCTGAGAGGAAGCGGCCGATTCCTGGCAAAAGCTTTGTACCCAGAGTCTGACGGCCAGACATCGCACCTGGAGCTTTTCCTTTTGGCAATAAACGTGTTCCTTTGTTCTTTTGGTGGGCTTTGGCTCTTATTGACCAGAGGCTTGTGGGTGTCCGTTCCTGGGGCGGAGGACGGCAAGGGTTGCTGTGGAAGCCCTTGAAGCTTTTTCTCTCCCTCCTCTCACCACAGGCCAAGAGAGGATTTGCCGGGGTGGGTGGGGGGGCAGAGGGGGCCAGCCAGCACCCAGCTTGGGCCCTGGCCCCACCTGGCTAATGGCGTTTCCAAGCTGGCTTATTGTAGGCAAGCTTGCCGGATGCTGCTGCTTAGTTCATAAAAGAGTCACTCTTTGCTTTTGGTTGAGAGAGCAAAGGGGGTCTTTCCAAGAGTGGTTATCAGTGGGGGTTTTTTTTGTTGCTTTAAAACTGCCAGAGCAGATGCTGTATTGAACGCTTAACTGCAAGTTCGGCATCCCTAGTGGACAAACATTTGGAACTCGGAAGGTGAGGGAGGGGGTGTGCCACAATGACCAAGAGCTACCAAAGTCTTGCAAAGCTGAACCCGCGGCCTGCGTGCCTTCCACAGGAGGGGGACCCTTGCAGGTTCTGCCGAAGAGCAAGTTTATTCTCCATGGCATGCATCATATCGCCCAAGGTTACATCAGCCCCAAGCACAGCAGCAGCAGCAGCAGAGTTTGGACAGCCAGACTCAAAGCCCCTGGGGAAACTGCCGGGTCTCCAGAGCCTTGCATAAAGGCTGACAGGGTGGGGGCCATCCAGATTTCCAGGGGGGTGCTGTGTCCCCTGCGGGACTTCAACCAAAGGGATGCAACTTCTGGCTCCCCTCCCCTCTTCTGTCTCTAGCTCACTCAAAGAGAGATCTGCTCTGGCCTCATGGGTAACTCCTCCAGTGCAGGAAAGGCCCTCAAGGCTTGGGCTCCCTCCCTATCCCCCCAAGTAGAAATGGGGAGGGGGTCATTGCCTCCCAGCCATAGCTCCAGCTTCTGCTTCCTGGCTGGCCAGGGAAAATGGGAGCTTGGAGCTTGTGTGACGGGTTGCCTGGGGGCAGTGGGGCTCCTCCTGCCCAAAGGTTTTGAGCCCAGAGCGGTCCACGAGGGCTCCTTGATTCTCTGCCTGCCTCCAGCGCCCGCCTGGAGAATTCCTTGGCGGGAGGGAAGGGCCGGGGTCTTTGCTCCCAAGACCAAGGATTGGCACAGGCCTGAGGTTTGCCTGCCGCTTCCCCAGCTCTGCTGTTTTCCTTCTGGGATCCCTGCCCAGGGCAAGAGGTTTTCCTTGCCAAACGAGTTTTGCAGGATCCTGCAACCCCAGGTGGGGGTGGGGAGGCTGCCAAGGTGCAGCCAGGAGGCTACGCAGGAGCAGCAGCACAGAAACCCTCCTGTTTTCTGCAGGGATCCCCAGCCCCAGGAGGAGCGGTATTCCTGTTCCACTTTGGCCAGGTCTGAAAAGCAGGAAGAAACGCCCCGACCCCAAAATTTAAAAAAAAAAAAAAGCTTAGTGGGAAAAGGATGTGTTTCAATCCATGTGGAAAAACCTATCGGATCTCATCCAGCCACCAATTAGGAATATTTAAGATCTCACTTCTGAGCATGAGCAGAGTGCTCCCAGTCAGAGAGACGCTACCTTCCCTTGTCTCCTCCCCTGTCCTTTACACCCACGGCCCAGGTTGGCCTGGGCTGAGCCTGCACTACTGGTGAGCGGAAGGCCCCCTCCGGGGCTGGGGGGCTCAGAGAGGCTAGAAGTCTTCCTGGGGAGGAGTTGGGGGGGGCGTCAAGAGGGCGGAAGGGCCGGGCCCAGATCCTGTCCCTGTGGCTGCGCTGCCAGGCGGACCTCTGGGACCTCGCGAGGGGCACCTCTTCTTGCCGTGCGGAGGGGAAGAAGCCGCCGCCCGGGGCTCCCCAGAGAGCCGGGAGCTCCAGCAGAGGCGCGGGGCCTCCTGGAGCCTCCTGCCTGGTGCGCGGCGCTCCCTGCTCGAAGGCGCGGACGGGCCGGTCTCCCCTCCCTCGGGTCCAGGGTGCAGGTGCCGGAGGTCCGCGCCCCGCAGGCGTGGCCAGGCAAATGAGGCGCCTCGCCTTCCAGCTGCCGCCGAGCGCCGCAGTCTCCGCTGCGCTCCGACGGTTCGCCGATGCCGTTGCCGCCGGTGCCCCCGCACCGTCCCCGACCCCGCCGGTGGCGGCCGCTGCGGGGCCTGGAGTGCGTGTTGCTGGGCGACGGCGCGGTGGGCAAGACCAGCCTGGCGCTCAGCTATAGCACCAACGGCTTCCCCGCGCGCTACGTGCCCACGGCCCTCGACCGCTTCTCGGGTACCGTCGCGGCGGCTCCGCCACGGGAAGGGCGCTGCCCTAGGCCGGCGCCGGGTGCGGAGGCTGGCGGGAGGCGGAGGGGCCGGGCGCGCCGGAGCAGAGTCCCCCGGGGCGGCCCGGCGAGGAGGGGCTCAGAGTCGCGTCGGCGGCTCGCCTCCCGCTTCTGGCCGGCGGACCCCCTTGGCTAACCTGAGCGCCTGTTGTGTTTCCCCAGCTGTGGTCCAGGTGGACGGCGCCCCCATCCGTCTCCAGCTGTGCGACACCGCCGGGCAGGTAAGGGCTTGTCTGGAGCCCCGGAAGGCGCACCTGGCAAGCGGGGCGGGCGGCCCTCCAGCCCGGAATTCAGGCTGCAGCGCGCGGCGTTGTTTTTGCTGCCGGAATCGGCGGCCCAAAATTTGGCTCGAGGCGCCTCGCCAAAGTGGATCCCGCGGATCCGGCTGCGGCTTCCCGGAATCCTTTGGAAGCGAGCCGGGTTCAGCTCCAAAGAGAGCAGCCTCCCCCGGGCGGGACCACCAACGGAGCGGAGGCAGCCCCGCTCTCTTTGGTCTCCACTCTGCTTTACTCCCACTCCGAAGAATTGGGGCTCTCTTCGCCGGTCTCTAGCTTCTTTCCAGTTGCCCCCACCCCCAGTATGGGGAGCCAGGCATTCTGCACACATTCTAGGCACACTCAAAATTCCAATGATCATTTATTACATTATTAATGCAAAGAGCAACTGGAGTTCTCCTACTGGAAGAGACTGAGCACGGGGTGGGGGTGGGGCTTTCAGGGCCTCCTGTTCACAACTGTAATGTTGGTGTTGCATCCAAAGCAAACTTTGGCCAGGCTTCCTGACCTGCTTGCCCTGAGCATCGAATTTGCAAAGGCCAAGGCTGGTTCCTGGATGGGGGCGGGGGGGGGTTTCTAGGAGTGAGGGGTGAGTCTCTCCTCATGCTGTGCCCTTCCCGCTCTGCTGCCAGGATGAATTTGACGCCTTGTGGCAGACCTGCTGCCCAAAGGCTGACGTCTGCCTGCTCTGCTTCAGCGTGGTGGCACCCACCTCCTTCCGGAACATTGCAGACAAGTGGTACCCAGAGGTGCGTCGCCACTGCCCTTCCGCCCGGGTGCTGCTGGTGGGGACTCAGTCGGACCTACGCCAGGACGTCAAGGTGCTGATTGCCCTCTCCCGGCGTCAGGAGAAGCCGGTGCCTCCTGCAGCCGCCTGCTCTCTGGCCAGGAAACTGGGCCTGGCCGGCTATGTGGAATGCTCGGCTCTCACCCAACAGAACCTGAAGGAGGTCTTTGACACTGCTATTGTGCTGGGGCTGCGGGCCGGCGAGGGCCCCAGGGGGCAGAGGGCCCCCCCCAGCTGCATCTGGGCCCTCTCCAAAGACTGGTGGAGCAAGTACGTTTGTGTGCGGTAGCCCTGGGTACAGCATCCCCCCCCCCCAGGGATGGGGCCTGGCGTTGGGATCCTCCATGAACTGGTGCATTGTGGTGCATTTCTCCTGGGTCGGGGGCCCAGGAGATGCCCAGAGCTGTGCCCCTCCTGAACCATCATGCCTTTCCATAGCCTGCCCTCTGTGGTGAAAGCCTCAAGCAGGGGAGGGCTGCCTGTGCAGGAGAGTACCCCCCAGGGCTCTTCCCAAGTGCTGAGGAAGGGCAGATCAAGGCTGTCCTCGCTCGCTGAGCACAAAAAAAATGGGGGGGAAGGCCTTGGGTACTCGAGGGGCAGAATGAAATGGAGCGCCTGTCATAATCACCCCAAGTGACGGTGGAAAGCTTTTGACCAAGGAGTTGATTTTATTGTGTTTTAAACAGAAATGCATAATCCAATAGTATCATTTTTAGAAGTGAAATGACATGCTTTAAAAAATATGGTTAACAAAACGTTTCAGAGAATTGGATTTTTTTTATTACATACAGTAGGCAAATCCCAGGCCTTAATCTCAGAGCCCTTGTTTTGACCCAGCCTGCTGACTTCTAGCCCTCTTCTCTACCTTGGGGTCCCTCAGGGGTGGGATCTCCATCCTGCTGATCTTCCAGCTGTAGCGGCTGCAGCCCCACAGATTGACAGGAGTGCCCAGTGCCAGCCGATCACCCTGCCCAAATATCTTTATGGAAGAAACAATTTGAGGTGGTGTGAGGTTTCTGTTCCCCTGGGCTTTCTGTACTAAATATTTGCTTTGCAACCATTATCTGTTTAAATGTATTTTCCCCTAAACAGAGTATTTGGGACACTCCCCTTTGAACCCCAAGATGTGGGTATTCTGAGAGAAGAACAGGGTCCGTGGTGCTGAGATTGCTTGTTTTCTTGCAGACCTTTCATTACCTAAACTAGGTAACATCATCCATGCTAGTAGAGGAGAGCTTTCTGCACAAAGCAGAAGCACTGAAACATTAAATCTATGGCCTGGCGGTGTTGTGCGCTTTGCATGATGTAATGGGACTTGTGAGGTTAATATTAACTGGAGCAGGGGTTGGAGTTGAGCTTTGTTGATAATGAGGAAGTTCAGCCTCCCTCCTGCCACCTGCTGTCAATCCAGGCCCTTTCTGGGCAACCTGCTTCTTCCTCCCCCAGTCCTGAAAACTGCCCAACCCAGAAAGGGTGACTCACACAACAGTGCTGACTTGCTCAAGATAAAGAATGCCAGATAAGGAGGAGAGGGAGGGAAGACATCTAGGCCCAACCTGCCTTTCTTGACAGGGTAGCAGAGATGCCAAGAAGAGGGGTGGGTGGGCTAGCGGTCAGTTGGAGTTAATCAGAATAGAGCTGGAAGGGACCTTGGAGTTCTTCTAGTCCAGCCCCCTGCTCAAGCAGGAAACCCTATACCATTTCAGACAAGTGGCTGTCCAGTCTCTTCTTAAAAACCTCCAGTGATGGAGTACCCACAACTTCTGGTGGCCAGCTGTTCCACTGGTTAATTGTCCTATCAGGAAGTTTCTCTTTAATTCTAGGTTGCTTCTCTCCTTGATTAGTTTCCATCCGTTGCTTCTTGTCCTGCCTTCAGGGGCTTTGGAAAATAAGTTGACCCCCTCCTCCTTGTGGCAGCCTCTCAAATACTGGAATCCTGCTATCATGTCCCCCCTAGTCCTCCTTTTCTCTAGTCTAGCCAAACCCAAATCCTGCAACCGTTCTTCATATGTTTTAGTCTCCAGGCCTTTGATCATCTTAGTTGCTCTTCTTTGCACTTTTTCCAAAGTCTCAACATCTTTTTTGTAATGTGACCAAAATTGGCTGCAGTATTCCAGGTGTGGCCTTACTGAGGCTTTGCAAAGTGGTACTAATACTTTACATGATTTTTATTCTATGCCTCTGTTTATACAACCAATTATTGTATTAGCTTTTATGGCTGCTGCCGCACACAGCTGGCTCATGTTTAAGTGATCGTCCAATAGGACTCCAAGATCCCTCACAGTTACTGTTTTTGAGCCAGGTTTCGTGTCTAATCTGTACTTGTACCTTTGGTTTTTCCTGTCCAGGTGTAAAACCTTATTTTTCTCGCATTATTTTGTTGGATAGGACACATTGTTCAAGTCTGTCAAAATCTTTTTGGATCCTGAGCTTCTGGGGTGTTGGCTATTCCTGCCAGCTTAGTGTCATCTGCAAATTTGATAAGTTCCCCTTCTATTCCCTCATCTAAGTTATTTATGAAGATATTGAAGAGTACTGGGCCTAAGACAGAACCTTCTCTCCATGTGGATGGACTACATTTAGTCAGCTGGTGGTGTTGTCTATTCCACCTTTTTCTAGCTTAGCAAGAAGTAGATTGTGGTCTCCTTTGTTGAATGCCTTGCTGAAGTCTTAAGTATACTATGTCCACAGTGTTTCGCTAGTCTATTCATTTGGTCACTTTGTCGAAGAATGAAATAAGATTGGTTCGGCATGATCTGTTCTTGGGGTTTCCTCCCTTGGGGTCTCAAGCTGCTTGCTGAGTGGGTGGGAAGGTCATATGTATCCCTAACTGTCCTCTGGGCTCTCTGAACCCTTGCCTCTCCCTGCCTGCTGCAGGACTCAGGAGGAGGAGGTGCCCTGCTGTGCCTTGCCCCTGAGTGCCTGCCGGGCATGGCTGTTTCCCTGGCAGAGACAGGGTGTTCCTGCCAAGAGCAACTTGTCTCTTCTGCCAGCCTCCCAGAGCGGGCTTGCGGGAGCCTGTGGGGCTGGAGGGGAGGGGAAAGTGAGGTGGGGGGGAGGGTCCAGCTGCAAGTGTCTCCCCACAGGTTGGGGAATAAGGTTCTACCAGGCTTAGGTGGGCTGCCCGTGGTGTGTGTGCCCGTCTGCTGCCAGGCCAATCAGGACTTTTTACCCTTTGTGGCTTGCCCTTGGTTCCTTCATGGTCCCAGGATCTCCTGGCCCAACAGCCCTTCCACGTTGAGTGTGTGAGGACATGAGTGCACAGGGACTGCGAGAACAAAGGTTTGATGAGAGCCTTGGCTGAAGGGAGGAGACGCCCAGCTTCCCAGAGGGAACAGCCCCCCTTTCCCTCCCTTGCAAAGATGGGTTGCAATATCCCTTTTCAGAACACCCGGATCCTGTGCTCCAGCAGAAGAACCACAGTCGAACCCACAGCCATACAAGGATTTGGGTGGAAACGGCCATACGGCTTGCATCTGAGGGGTTAAAGCCAGGCTATGCCCGGGCCAGGTGGAGAAAAGAGGACAACCCCGCCTCAGTTGGCCGCGGGGGTTTCCCCCGGAAGAAAGCCAGGCAAGCGCCTTTCTGGCTGAGAGCCAGCCGTGATGTCTCGCGGGGACCCTCAAATAACCCATTCCATTGATTTGGCTGAATGAAGGTGGGCGGGAGCGCGAACTCTACCGCCAGCCGCACACAGACACGCAGCCCACCACCCCTGCCGGGCGGTCTGCGCTCCTGTCACCGCGCTGCCCTTTTTATACCTTCCGTCCAAGCAGCGTTCCTCTGATTGGCGGCACGGCCTGAGCCTCAGCTCTCATTGGCTCAGCCGCAGAGCCAATGACCGCAGAGCTCGCCGGCCTTTCCTTCCACGCGCGGGGTGGGCCGGTCTTCGGTGAGTCGTGTGACCCTCCGTGCTTCCCGGCTCCGCCGCTCTTTCCTGCGCCCTTCGGAGCGGGACCCTCCGGAACCTGCAGGCCGCCAGGGGGCGTTCCCCACGGCGTGTGACGTCATCCCCCCGCGACGTCCTTCTCGGCCGGTTCCCTGGGCGCCGCCATATTGCGCGACGAGGCCGGCGGGGGGAGGAAGAGGCGGCGACAGAGGAGGGGGCGAGGGCCGCCGCGTCGCCCGCCATGTCGGAGACCTACGGTGCGTGGGCGGGGGCCGCGGGGGGGGGCCGCGGCGGCGGGGAGGCGCGGCGGCGGCGGGGGGCTCTGCAAGGGATGCCTCCCCTCGCTCTGTCTCCCCCGCAGACTTCCTGTTCAAGTTCCTGGTGATCGGCAGCGCCGGCGCCGGCAAGTCCTGCCTGCTGCACCAGTTCATCGAGAGCAAATGTGAGTCGCGGGGGGGCGCCGGGGGGACCGCCTCGGCCCGGGGCTGCGAGGAGGCGGGAGGGAAGAGCCCGGTGGGTTCGGGGAGACCCCGGGCGGCTGAGGCTCCCGCGGGCCTCTGCCGGGCTGCAGGCGGCGCCTTCCGGTTCCTCTGCGAGCGGCGGAGCCACGGCGGGGTCGCTCTCTGAGCCGCCGCCCCCTCCAGGTCCCGGGCCTGCCTCGGACCGCCCCGCGTGACCCGCCGCCCTCTTGTCCCTCTCGGCGCCCGGCAGTCAAGCAGGACTCCAACCACACCATCGGGGTGGAATTCGGGTCGAAGGTGGTGACCGTCGGCGGCAAAACGGTGAAGCTGCAGATCTGGGACACGGCTGGGCAGGAGCGATTCAGGTAAGCCGGGGTGGGGTGGGGTGCGCTGCTTTGGGGAAAGCGGGAAGATCCCTGCTTGCCATGCCTGGAGACTGGGACCCCTCTTGGCACCGGGAGACCAGCCCTGGTAGTGCCAAACTAGGAAGGGTAGCTGGAAGGGGGTTTAAAGGGTTTGGAGTAATCAGTTTTAGATTAGCAGTGGTAGGATGTTTATAAAGTAGATTTTCATGAGAGCCTGTGCTGCAGAGATTGTACGGATGCATCAAAGCTTGCAAGATCAGCCATCTGCTGAATTTTGTGGTTGATGTTATGCTCAGTTGTTAAAGTTCTGTTTTAAAAAAGATGTCAAGGACATATGTGGGGGGAGAGGTTCCCTCCCGATTAAGATTGATTTGTGCAAGGCTTCAGTTGCCAAAGTCTCCTCTGAAACAAAGAATGTTGTCTGGAAGTTTGAATCCAAACCTAGCCCCACATGTTGGCCTAGAGAATGCTCTGTTACCTCACAGAAGGATTCAGAATAATTGTGGCTCTAACTGCACAACCCAGCATCTAGGAACCCACTTAGACATAAGGCTCAAGTTAGCATTTGCGAGTGCCCTTTCAATTGTTTGCATTACATCCAGTCTGCCACACCTGTATGAAACCTTATTTACTTCTCTCTAGGTCTGTTACTAGAAGCTACTACAGGGGTGCAGCTGGGGCACTTTTAGTGTATGACATCACGAGGTGAGCAGTTGCATCCCCATCTCTTGCTTTTCAGCAATAGGAATTCCTGGGAAGGGGCCGTTTCAGCTACGGCTGTTCACAGACAATTTTCATTGTAGAAGAAAAGCTGTGATGCTGTTTCTTAGAGGAAATTTTAGTGCAGGGAGATTTTGGGGAGGAAACCAGCAAGCAGCTTGTGCAGAAATCTGTTTCCTTTCCCTCTTTGGGACAAAACCTTCTCTGAGCCTCCCAATCATCTGCTTGTCTGGCATTCAATCAGTCAATTCTGTCTTGCAGCAGAGAGACCTACAATGCCTTGACCAATTGGCTAACAGATGCCCGGACTCTGGCCAGCCTCAATATTGTAATTATTCTGTGTGGCAACAAGAAGGATTTGGATGCTGACCGGGAAGTCACTTTTTTGGAAGCTTCTCGTTTTGCTCAGGAGAATGGTAACGTGGGGTGGTGGTAGTGGTGGTGAGGCTGGCTGGGCTGGGCTGGAGGGAGCTGAGCCCCTGGAGCCTTGCTTTTCCCGGGGGCACCTCAGTGCTGCTGGGTTGAGAGGGGAGCATCTGCTCTCGGCTTCCTTCCGGGGGCAGCTGTGCGGTTAACCTGCTGGACTAGAGCAGGGAGAGTTGGCCGTGGTGAGCTGCTGCTGAGGTGCTTTGGGCTGAAGCAGCCAGCTCAGATCAAGTGCTGGGTTGTTTTTCCCAGCATCCATCTCTTGTTGAGGGCCGGAGATTCTGAAAACTCTGGGAGGCCTGGACTTGATCTCCAATGACCCCCCTCTCCTCCCCTTGGTTTGGGTGTTTCTCACCTATCCGTTGCTTTAACCAGACTCAGTTCTGGGCCCAGAACATACATTGAAGCATTAAGGCAGCGGTTTTAATCCAGCGCTTCTTACCCGGCAGAGCTGATGTTTCTCGAGACCAGTGCCTTGACTGGAGAGAATGTAGAAGAAGCTTTTCTGAAATGTGCACGGACCATACTGAATAAAATAGAATCAGGTGTGTCACATTTTTTTTTAGCAGATTTATGAACCATCTCAGTCCTCAAGGGCTCTGGGTTATATAACTATGGAAACTGTTGTGCAGTCAGCAGTACAAATCTTTCGGTTAATCCCTCGGTCGCCTGGGCCAGACGTGGAAAGACGCAGCTTAGGGGTTAGGGTCAAAATGGTTTTGAGCTGGTTGAAATTGGGTAGGACTCGTTCTCCCAAGTGCTGGACGATGTGCCAAGGCCAGGTGGCTATGCTAGAGCCTGCCCAAACCCTCTTTGGGTAAGTTGACACGTGGTGAAGGGGCTTTGGAACCAAGTGAGCATTGTGGGGCTGCACTTGGCTGTGGGAGAATGTGGCCAAAGCCAGTGGTAGCTGAGTCTCTCTTCCCCCACCAGGTGAGCTCGACCCGGAGAGGATGGGCTCAGGTGTCCAGTACGGGGATGCGTCTTTGCGGCAGCTGCGGCAGCCCCGGAGCAGCCAGGCACAGACGCGGCAGCAGTGCACCTGCTAGGGCCCAGGTCCCCACCGGCTTGCAAGGTGAGCCTGGGAGCTGCTCTCTCCAGTGACTCTGCCATTCAACGCCCTCTGTGCGCCTTTGCCTCCTGCACCTGGGCTGCGTGGGCAGGGGACCCTTCCCATTTCAGAAAAAGGGGTGACCAGCAGTCCTCCAGCCCCCAACCCCACCCCGTGGCCTGCTTAGCCCCCATGCATCGGAGCCACGGGCAAGAAGCGCACGTGGGCCCTTTTTCCTTCAGCGACCTTTCAGTGGGGATTGGAGAGCTTTGGTGAAGCTGCTATGTGGTCGGGAGGGTTTAGCCATGAGCCCATCCCCCGGAGGGAGGTGTGAAGAACTGGAGCCCCTGCAGAGCCCCACCGTACTCCTCCTCTTCCCTCAGTGCTGGAACTCCGCTGGTCTGGGTCCAGGGCTACATGAAGCCTCTCCTTCTGTTTGATTCTGCAAAGCAACAGGCCTCGTGGACTGAAGACCCTGCCGCACCCCCTGCGGTGGCTGCTACGGCCACTGCCGCTTCCTTCCCCTCGCCTTGCCTCCCATCCTAAGGAGAAATGTTGTGAGTTTGGCTCTCAGGTTTCCTAGCAGAAGGTTTGCACCAGCAGCTGTGGCCAGGCCCCTTCATCCACCCCCTCGCGCACTGCGGCTCCCCAAAGGTGTGGGGGATGCCCCTAGAGCGAGTGGGGCCTTCTTGGCCCCTTGGAGTGACTACCTCTGCGCTCCGTAGCTGCCTCCAGCTGAATAGCAGCCGATCCCTCTGATGGGGAAGGAGGGTCCATGCCCCTTCCGGGATGCTCTACTTTCTACCTTTTAAGACCTTGAATTGTTTCACGTTGCATCGAATCTCAACCTGCTTTGAGAAGTCGGGGGGTGGGTGGGTGGGGGCAGGTTGGAGCACAGTTGTGGTGGTGGAAACTTTGATGTTGTTTGCAGCATCCCCAGCACTCCCCTTTGCAGGACAGGGTCCCGGGCGAGTGCCTCCCCCCTCCAGGTTCGCTTGTGCAGGATGGCGTTTCCATGCCTTGTTTCACTTTCCGGCCCCCTCTTCTGCTTGGCCAGTGCCTCTGCTTACACCCCTCTCTTTTCCTGGGGCTGCAGTGGCTGGGCCAGCCCAGGCCAGTGGGCAGGTTGGCTTTGCTTCTTGAGGGGGGGGGGGTTGGCCTGGAGTTGATGGAGCGAGAAATGCCTACTTTGGGCAATTTCTGTGAGCTCTTTTGTGGGTGATTTGCTCTGGGCTGGTCCACAGCAAGGAAGCCACAGCATCGGCAGAATAATCACCGCTTCCCTACTGGTGTGGGAAGCCGTGGGGATATTGTCCCCCCCCCGAAGTGTTGACAGCCCCCTGTTTGGGCAAGTTTGGATCCCCTCATGCTTTCAAGTATTGCAAGATGTCCGTATCTCTAGAACCTTTGACCAGGCGCCAGCGTGAGAGGCAAAAGTCCCCGGTTGACAAAGCACCTCTTCCAAAGAGCACAGCCCTGAGTTTTGTCACATGAAGTGGAGAAAAAACCCACTAGGTTGTGGAATTGCCCACAGCACTTGGTGGCCAGTGCTACCAGGCTTGCTGTGCGTGGTCCCTCTGCAGCTAAAGCTGTCTGGGTCCTGGAGAGGAGAGGTCGGTTTAGTGGAGATCTCTTGAGAGGCACCAGCTCTGAGGAGGAGGATTCCCCCCCCCCCAATTGCAATAGTTTCTCTTAACCCTGACCCGGCTCCCTCCCTCCCTCCTTCGGAGGAGGAGGAGTTCCTTTCTCCAGGGGGGATGTGCTGAGGGCCAGGAGCTCTTTTTCAAAGCCTCCCGGTGTGTTGATCCACATTTGCATGGATCCTCAGGGGCCTGGTTTTTGACAGCCGTCCAGGATGAGGCCTGGTTCCAGATGGTGGCAAGCTGCGTTGGTGTGGAATTTGCTAGGCCAGAAGTCCTCCCTGGTTCACTGGGGAAGGATAGGAAAACTAAGCGTAGAAGTGCAGGCTTGACCTGGCAGTTCCTGTTGGCAGTTACTTTGGCCGTGGGTGGCTGCCCCCCTTGCAGGAAGGGGAGGTGCTCTGAGTTGGGGACTTTTTCCTCCTCCCTCCCCTCCCTTCCTGGTTTTATCATCACATCATGGGAAGGTCAGAACCTGGAGGTGGGGGTCTACTTCTGTTTTCTGCTAGAATGTAGGCATCACTGCTCCTTCCGGTGTTCTGTTTGGATTGGTCTGGGAAGGTTTCGCTTCCTCTCCTGCTGAGCCCTCCCCTTTCCCCTGCAAAAGAAAGGTTTGGATTTTACTTTTAAGTATAATGTTTACCTTTGTTATTTATTCTTCTGTGTCAAGGGCAGGAACAGGCTGGCTTTGCAGGTGGGGTGTCCCTGCTTTCACTTGCCCTCCTGGGTTGCTTCTGCAGATTATCCCTCTCTGGCCCTGCCTTGATTCCCTGAAGCTTCGGAGGAGGAGGGGGGGGGGAGTTCTTTGCACAGGCTTTCCATCCAGCGTTGTTGAACAGCTGACTGTTATATCTTCCGGTTTATTTTGTTTTCCTATAAATGCAAACATTCCCTCCAATTTCAAGGCTGTGAATATGATACTCATACATAACACTTTTTTTTTCTTTTGCAAATGTCAGAAGGGTGATGCCTTTTTCCTTTTTGAAGCAATACACAAACGGTCACTAAGCAGCAGAAGGACCGAAGGCCACTCAAATGTAGGACAGGCTGCGGGTGGTACCGAAATAAGTGTTGGTCTGGGGGAAAATACCAGGTTGCCATGGTTTCTAACCACGGCTGATCTGATTTGGGAACCTGGTAAGCAGGCCCTTCAGCTGACGGCTCTCCCCTTCCCCGCCATGAGTGAAGCTGACTCAGGCATAGGACAGTGGGCCCTCTAACTGCAGGGGTCTAGAGCGGGGGTCTCCAACCGTGGCAACTTTAAGTCTTGTGGACTTCAGCTCCCAGAATTCCCCAGCCAGCACATGCTGACTGGGGAATTCTGGGAATTGAAGTCCGGAAGGCTTAAAGTAGCCAAGGTTGGAGACCCCCGCTCTAAGGGTCCTGGTGCTGCTGCATCTCCATCTCCATCGTGACTTCCGGTGGCAGGAGCCGTTTCCTCCATAATTTCCTCAGCCTCCTTTTAAAACCAAGTGAAGCCGTTGCTGTGAAGTGCAGAAAACCCTCCATTGTTTCTCCCCCCAGAAAGCTAAGCCCCAAAGCGCCCTCCTTCCCTTAACTCGGGCGATGGATCTTTCCCTCTCGTGGACAGCTTAGGCTTGGTGGTCACAAAGCCGCTTGCCCAATGTCCCTGCCCATACTTGTGGGCAAGGTCCAAATGATTTTTTATTCTTTCCAAGGGTAGCTGAATCCCCAGTCTGTCACCCCCAGATGAGGGGAAGAGCAGGCCCTGCAGTTTGCCTTAAAGGAGGCTCTAATAGAGGAAAAATTGCTTTACAATTGACCGAGAGAGGCAAAAGAACTCCAAGGGAGAAATGGGCATTTTTCATGGTGTGAAAAAAAGGACAGGAGAGTTAAGACTCTTGTTATAAACTGACCCTGTGCTTTACTCTTGAGAGGGAAGGATAAGGAAGCACCGGATCCCCGATTCTCCCTTCTTTGTAGACAAATTCTGTAGCGCTTTAATAACAAATCAGCATTGTAACAAGAAGCCATCAACTGAGAACATATATGCAATAACCACATCAAAGAATGATTCTGTAGTTACTTAATTCAGACAATCCTTACTCGAGTTCTCCATGATTTACATGCATTAATGCATTTCTTGACTGTAACTGAACAGAAAAAAAAATTGGAAAACAGTATCAGAAAATAAATAGCAACAATTAAAAGACCAGTTTCCCAGTGAATCCATGGAGCACCTCTTCCGAAACGAAAAGTTCTTGTCTCCTCCGAATCAGCAGAGCAAGAGGGTGGCCGGGACCCACAAAGAGGCTTCCGCCACAGATGACTCTCGCCCAGTTGTGATCTGAAAGTGAAGGTGCATCTTAGCTGAGCTCCCAAAACAGGAACCCAGGCTGGTGTACTTACAGTTCAGAGGGGGCTGAAACTGGGTGGGTGGGCTTAGTTGGGAACCTTCCAAGACACCCCCTCTAAACACTTGGGGTGGTAGGGTCCTTTGTGGGTAGCCGCCTCTGATTCTGGCATTCCCAAAAAGTTCTCTTGGGACCCAAGCTGGGGGGGGTGGGGGAGGGGGGGCTGGGCTTCCAGCCTCATCACATCAGTGGGGGGAAGGGAATGGGGAGACTGCAACCTCAGCTCAGAACCCCTCTGCCAGAGCTAGCCCCCTCCCCATGATTTGATTCTCCAGGCTTTTGGAAAATCAAGGCAAGCAGTTCCTGGAAAAGAGGAAGCAGAGGGTCTCTGTGGGGATGACACGCGTGGGCACTTGGGAAGTGTTGAGTTCTTTTGCCTTTTGGTGCCATCAAAGATCCTGCCTTCCTTCCTCCTCCCCTCCTTTCCCTTTTTGCATGTTGAAGAGTTTTGGAAACCGCAAAGGTTTTGTGTGTGTGTGTGTGTGTGAGAGAGAGAGAGAGAGAGAGGAACATTTTGTCCAACCTGGAGGAACAACTCCGCCTCCTCCGAAAACCTACCGGGCGGCGGGGGACGCTGGGGCCGGATCGAGTCAGGAGAAGCTCCGCTCCAGGCCAAGCGGCGAAGGGCCAAGAGCTTCGCCCCGGGGCCCGACCTCCGCTGGCTGGAAGGGCGCGAGGTCTGCGGGGGAGGAAGCGGCGGGACCGGAGGGGTCACGGCCGCGGGAGAGCAACACGCCGGCCCAGGCGCATCAGCTTTCTGCGCCCTCCGGCCCCGCGGAGCTCCCGGAGCAACGCGGCTCCGGGTGCCGCTTGAAAACCGGCTTCGGCCAGAAGGCGAAGGGCCGGGAGGGCAGGAAGGAGGAGCGGCGGCCCCGGCGCCCGGGGAGGCCCCCACGCGCTCCCGAGGGCCGTTTCCGCTTCCTCTGCTCGAGGGCCGAGCGCGGGGGGCGGCACCGGGGGGCGGCTCGCTCCCGGGGCTCGCGGGAGGCTGCCCGGCTGGCGCCTGGCCAGAGCCCGGGGGGACAAGCGGCGGCTCCAGCGCAGGTGAGAAGCGCCCGGCGCGCGCTGAGGACTAGCCCCTTTCCGAGCAGAGCCGCGGCTGCCTCGAAGGTGACGACTCTTCCTGGCGGTGGGTGGCCGAGGCCGTCGCCGGTCGCCCCCGCGGAGGCCAGCCCGGCAGCCGCGCGCCCACCGCAGAGTCGCGGCTGCCAGAGGTGGCGGCGGGGGGGGGGCGGGCGAAGTTGTGCGTCATTTGCTTCCCCGCGATTCGGCCGTGGCGGCGCTTCGTGCCTCCGTTTGTCCCCAAGACAGCGGCCCCTCCCGCCGGGGTCTCAGGTTGCCCCCCGCAGCTGTTCGCCGTTTGTGGGATGGCAGACCCGCCAGCCTCTGCCCGCAGGCCAGGGATGATGGGACCTGGCAAGGTCTCGCGTGGGAGGGGCGGTCTCTGCTCGCCAGTCTCCTGCCGCCCCTCCCCCCGCGTCCCACGCCGGCTTCGTCCCTTCCCGGGGATTGTGGGGGGGGGGCGCTTGGGAGCGCTGAGTCTGCTCGGGGCCGTTGCGACCTCGCCCCCTTCTCTCCCTCCCGTAGGCAACCGAGCCCGGCCCCTCCCGCGGCCGGCAGCCCCTCCGGGTCAGCGCTGGGCCGCCCCGGCCCCTACAGGATGCTGCCGGCCCGCCCCGAGCGCCCCCCGGCCCTGAGATGGCTGCCTCCCGCCCGGCGGGCCCTGCCGTGGGGCTGCTCCCGGGCCCGGGTAGCCAGGAGGCGGCGGCGGAGGCGGGCCGCGCGGAGGGCAAAGGGCTGGCCGTCCGCGGCCTCCTCTGGCTGGCCCTGACCCGGGAGCTGAAGCGGCCCGGCCCGGAGGCGCGGCGCCCGGGGGCGGAGGGCTCGGCCGAGCGCCGGCAGCGGGGGGAGCCCGGCGGCCAGCTGGCCCGCGACTACGTGGTGCCCTGCCTGGACCGCTACGGCCTCTGCGTGAAGGACGCCTTCCTCGGCGAGGCGCTGGGCGGGCAGGTCCTGGCGCAGGTGGAGGGGCTGCACCGCGGCGGCAAGTTCCGGGACGGGCAGCTGGTGCTTCGCAGAACGGTGCCCGCCCGCCGCATCCGCGGGGACCAGGTGGCCTGGGTGGAGGGCCGGGAGCCCGGCTGCCGAGCCATCGGCGCCCTCATGGCCCGCCTGGACGAGCTCATCCTGCAGTGCGCCGGGAAGCTGGGCGGCTACGAGATCAACGGCCGGACGAAGGTGAGCGCAAGGCCGGAGCCCGGCTGTTGGTGCCGCTGCCCGGGCTCAGCCCCCCACCCTGCGGGCCGCCCCTCCAGCCAGCCCCTCGGGTGGAGGCCAAGGGATCCGGTCTCCGGTGATCCTGGGCCCCCCTGGAGGGCGCTAAAAGCGATGGACTTTACGCTGGGGCGGGGGCGGGCGGAGCTCTGCTGCTGGACGGGGCTTGGAGTAGGGCAGACAGCCCAAGACAAAAACCGATTCCCCCGTCCTCCCCCAGAAAGACCTCGGTGCTTTTGGCTCCTCCTGGGACCGCCCTGGGTCTCTCCTTCCCGGACTCGGTATACTGGAAGGGAGGCTGCTGGGGAGGGGCGGGCAGCTGTGGGTGATGGGGGGATGGGAGCAGTCCTCCTGGTCTTTTCTGCTGTGGATTTCAGGCCAAGGAGGGAAATAAGCATCTCTCCCCCCCCCCCCGCTTTGGAGGCACGTGGTTGGGCTGAGCCCTGAAGGGAGGGGGGAAGTGAGAGGGGCTGTGGGGCTCATGGAGACAGGTTTAGGATGAGTCTGGGCTTCTTGAGCGGATACTTGTCCTCAGCTGGGTCTGTCCACCAGCCCTCTCTGACTTGTGGAGCCCCTCGGAAGAGGCTCCCTCCCTCTGCCAGTCTTGCCAGCCTGCGCCCCAGAGGGACCCTGGCCGCTGCCCCCCATCCTTGAAGTAATAAGAGGCCTCAGAGGCCGACACCCCCTCGGACAACAAGCCCTGCCTTCCCCTCCTTTTGCAGCCTGGTCCAAAGGCTCCCTGAGTTGGCATCTCCTCTGCTTTGTCCTCCGGTGACCCTGCAGGGAACATCCACCACGGGGGGGGGGGGGGGGGCTGGCAGCAGCCCAGCTGGGAGGGAGCAGATCCTGCCTCACGGGGACTGGATGTCCTCGGTGTTTCCGAGAACAGGCTGCTCCAGCCCTGGGTGGGGGGAAGGTCCCTTCTGCAGCGCCACTGGCTGGGAGGTCGGCCTCCGAAGGCAGAGATGGGCTTGGGGGACAGAGAGGGTAGATGCCTTGTGTGGGGAGCCCCGCCAGCCCACTGCATCCCTCTCATGGCAGGGCTTTCCCTGCCCCCCCCACCAGTGTTCAAGTGAACCACAATTCATGATGGGGACACTTGCAAATAACTTTGCCTCTGAGCATATGCTGAGTCCAGCTTTTGTCCGCCTTGGGTTTGAAGGAGAAACCTTTTGGTTAGGCAAGGGAGTATGTGTGTGGGGGGACCTCCCCTCTGAAAGGAGAGCATCTTGCCTTCTATGTTTGGGGTGCCTGCAGTGAGGGTTTGTGGGTCATCTTTAAAGCGCACCATGGCATCGGACCTGGCTACCTCCGAGACCGCCTTCTGCCACAGATCGCCTCCCACCGGCCGATACGCTCCCACAGAGAGGCCCTCCTCAGGGTGCCGTCAACCAGACAGTGTCGGCTGGCGACCCCCAGGGGGAGAGCCTTCTCTGTGGGAGCACCCACCCTCTGGAACGAGCTGCCCCCAGAGATCCGGGTGATTCCGGATCTCCCCTCCTTTCGCCGCGCCCTTAAGACCTGGTTATTTCAGCGGGCAGGACTGGCCTAGGGGTATTTTAAATTGGTTTTAACAAAATTTTTAGTATAAGCTGCCTATTGAATATCTATTTTTAATTACTTTTAAATTTTGTATTATATTGTATTATTGTTTTTAAGCTGGCTGTAAGCCGCCCTGAGTCCTCCGGGAGAAGGGCGGGGTATAAATTTAATAAAACTAAACTAAACTAAACTAAACTAAACAGCTCTGAGACCAGACAGGCTGCAGCATTCGCCCTTGGCACCTGCTTGATGGTGGCAGAAGAGTACATCCCCTGGCATTTGCCCCCCCCAACCACACACACACACCTGTTTTGGAATGCTGGGAAGTGCCTTGCCAGGGTGGTCCTTGGCTATGGGGACCAGGTCATTTGTGCCAAAGGGGCTGGCTGGAGGGGCAAGGGGCTTCTGGGGGGCAGCCCTAGTGGATTTGCCAGCTGCTCGGTCTCCCCACTTCCCCTCCTCTCCTCCTGCCTTCCAGGCCATGGTGGCGTGTTACCCTGGCAACGGCCTGGGCTACGTGCGGCATGTGGACAACCCCCATGGAGACGGGCGCTGCGTCACCTGCATCTATTACCTAAACCGGAAGTGGGATAGCAAGGTAGGGAGTGGCGAGGGGGGACAGCTCTCAGCACCCCCACCTCACGCACAGAGCTCTTCCTGTTCCCTTCCTGTTCCCTTCCAAGCCCCAAATGCACAAGGGGGTGCGGGGATGGCTCCCGCATTCAACTGGCCTGCTCTGGAGGGTTAGTTTGCGGTGCTTGGATAGTAGAGCCCCGCTCTTCTCTTTGAGGAGAGCAAACCGGGTTTGTGAGAAGTTGCCATCCAAGCTAGACTGTCTCCCTTCCTGAGACGGCCGGTTCCTCCCTCTACTGCAGATGGGGTGTGAGGAGGGGGCAAGGCTCCTGGGTTTTGGTGGGCTTCAGGTGTTCCTTCCTTGCCTTCTGAGGCAGCTCTGAGCAGTTATGTCATCAGCTTGAGTTTCCATGTGAACGGTGGGGAAAGAAAGTAAAGTCAACCACAAGCAAAATTTCCAGTCTTGAAAAATGGGAAGTTTAAAGCCACCTCAAAGGGGTGGGGGTTTCAATGGCTTCTAGAAAGAGCGAGTGGGCTTCCCTCGAAGGGAGTTTGGGGGTGGAGGGCTGGGGTCTGGGACAGAACTGGGCCCTTTTTGTGGTGGAGGATTGGGTATCACCCAGGCCCACCGTGGGGACGAGGGGCTGCCCTTACGAAGCCCCCATCCTCCAGGGCAGTCTGAAGGACCTTCCTTGGCCCCCTCTCCCCCAGGTGCACGGGGGCCTCCTGCAGATCTTCCCAGAGGGTCGCCCGGTGGTGGCCAACATCGACCCCATCTTTGACCGGCTGCTGATCTTCTGGTCGGACCAGCGCAACCCGCACCAAGTGAAGCCAGCCTATGCTACCAGGTGAAGGGGCCGGCGGGAGGGAAAGGGCGGGGCAAGAGCCACCTGCAAATGAGTCCCCCCCCCAGACATGCAGAGTGATGTGTTGGCAATGGGGGGGGGAGGCCTTCCTGCTCTGAGCCAGATGGAGCCACTGCCCCCACCCCATAGAGAGGAAGGCTTCGGACCGGCTGCCTCCCAGGAAAGGGGCAGGGAATTCCAGTGGCAGCGTTAGCACCCCCAAAGAGGCTGGAGGACTGGGATGCCAAGCCAGATGACACTGGGTCCCTAGGCTGGAAGAGAAGACCCCTCCCCTTTCCCCGGGAGGCTTTTGCACTGCTGCTGAGAAAGGCTGGGGCAGGGGCTTTTCTGTGGGAGGGGTTGCCCTGCTCCTCAGATCAGGCATGTGGGGAAGCTGCTAGGAAGCACTGATGGGGGAAGTATTCTTGTGCCCTACTCATTTATTACTGTGGAGCATGTCCTAGAAAGACCCCCCCCCCATTAGAACAGTCAGGGCTCTCTCAACCCCTCCCCCAGCTGATCTGCTTTCTGCCACCTGCCCAGGTATGCCATCACAGTCTGGTATTTCGATGCCAAGGAGCGGGCCAGAGCCAAGGAGGCGCACCAGCAGGGTAAGTGTGTGTGTGTGTGTGGGGGGCTCCTTTCAGCAGAGGTGCAGTGGGGATGCTCCCCTGAGTCTGGGCGCTGGAGCCATCTGCCCGCAGCCCCCTGGGGGTCTTTCCCTGGGAATGGCTAGCCCAGTTAGCTGTGGGCAGGACGGAGCCCCGCAGAGCCAGCTTTGGAAGCGCCAGAGACTGTTGTCCAGACGGGCTTGGCTGATGGTCAGCAGAGTCAGCCGGTGAGCAGCGAACAGAGGCTGCAGCCCCCTGTGAGGGTCCTTTGGCTTTTGGGGGTGCTTCACAATTGGGGCTCACAAAGGCTGCAGTGGAGCCAGGAAGGGAGCAGGAAAAGGCGGGCAAAGTGATGGAGGGCAGTTTGGGGGAAAGAGCACGGGGCAGCTGGTGATGTGGGGCTCGGCTATGCTTGGGAGGGAGGCTTTCCTTAACCACAGCCTCCCCTGCAGCTTCTGCTCAGAAGGAAGGAGCCTCTTCTGGGATAGGGACCGATGGCCCCACCTGACGGATGGAAGACCTTGCCGTGGGAACCTGACTGGCACGGCCCGCCCGTCGTTTGGCCATCCCAGCTGCCTGTGGATGCTGCCACTGCTGGACTGGGATGCCCTATGCAGGAATGGGGTCTCGGGGGAGAGAGGGGCCCTGGGGTGCAAGGAGGCACCCTACAAGCCGGGATGTGTGTCTTGCCCCTCCGGCGTGCAGCTGTGCTCTGGCCAGTCTGTAAACGCAGCTCCACTTTGCACATGGGGCGTCCATGGCTGCCCCCTCCTGCTGCTGCCTGCATCGCCCATTTGCGGACGAGGAGAGAGAGAAAGAGAGGAGCACAGTGCAATAAAGATACCTCATTTGGAAATGCTCTTGGCTGATCTCTGGGGGGCGGGGGGGGAGGCCTGACATGCGACCCAGGTCTAAGGGCCCCAGCTGCGCTCCCTGTGCACCCACCATGATGCCCCACTGTCAGCCCGCTTCCCCCGACAGGCTATGAGAGCTAGGATCGCATCAGCCTGGTCTGTTTCTGGGGGGCAGCGTCTCCCCATTTGCCTGCCTTGGCAGCCCCAGAGCAAGACCCCCCCCCTTGTGGGGGTAGGTGGTGTTCCTCTGAACTCTCCTTCCCTTCCTTGGGGGGAGGGCTCTGTTGGGCTTGTCAGAAACAGTTCTCTGCCCTCTTGTCCTGTGAAGCCTCCAGAGGGTCCGTGGGGGGGCCTGCAGGGGGAGGGGGTGCGATTTGAGCAGCAGCCAGAAGTGAAGAGTGCAGCCAAGGAGCGGCCAGCAGATGGGGCTCTTGAGCTGACTTGGCAGGGACAGGGACCCCCCCCCCCCCCCCCCC